GACCTGAAAGGCACACCTCAGATTGCATTTACTCCGGCCTTGACCCCACTCTGTGCACAGTTGCCCTCTTGCTTTTCCTCTTCCCGACGCAAGGAGCTCACACCAAACCCAGTCTGCTCGTGTCAGACTTGCCACCGGGCAGCTGAACTTTTTTTGGCTTGCATGGGATGAAATCACAGCCCATGCATTACCCTGACGTGGAGGCTTGTTTGCTTTATATTTTGCGGTTGAGTATTTTATAGTCCAGGGATATCTGCTAATCCCAAAGTACGAAAACAAAAATCGTATCTTTCATAAATACACAAGGCAGGGATGGGCACCCTCCCAAGTGTGTGTGGAGAAAAGAACATTTCAGACATTGTTTCCCTGCACTTGGAGCCTGTCTTTATTTAATGAAGTTAGGCAGCTAGTCGGGATTTGCAGGGCATCTATATAGGATTATTTTATTATTATTATTCTTTTTATTATGGGTCATATTCTGAGGTGGAATATGATTATCTTTCCCTTCCAGCTATAAATTATGAAACTTCAAATCCTTCCCCCTTCCTGATCTATGAAGATGTGGGTCTGATCACAGGAACAAGAAACAAGTCAAAGACCAAAACACTGACCAGCACCTCCTTAATCCAGCTGCTTTGCTGCCAGAGCACCGGGATCTTGGCTGGTTGGCAACCCAGGTATCGCTCTGCTGTGAACTTTCTGATTTATACCAGACCTTCCTACCACAGATTAACACCAATACTGGCGTGGATGCGGCTGCCTTGGAAATAGGGGCTGGGATATTTCTGTAGCTGACCTGGCCAAGCTTGTCCCTATTTTGGGTTATGCCTACAAAGAAAGGGCTCCAAATTCCCTCCTGACAACCCTTGAATTTCTGGGGGGAGTGCTACAGCCCTTCTGCAAAACCAGAAGGAAGCTTCAGCATTGCCCAAGCAGCCTGAGTGAGGCCAGGTCTGGGGAACATCAGGCTGCAGCAAACAGAAAGGGGTCGAGACCGTTCTGCTGCCAAAAGGCATCTCCCTCATGTGCAAGGCACCAGGCACTGCTGGAAGTGAAGACCTCCACAGCAAAGCGGGGGTCTTTTTTACTGGCCATTTCCCACCCCACACAGACCTGCTGCTTCCCTGCATCGTGTTGAGCTCAGCCGACTGCAGCCGGATGATACCCATTTCCCAAAATGGAGCTACTCTGATCCAAAGCCCTGCAGAGGGGTGGTGTCTTCTTCTTCTTCTTATAATTATTTTTATGATGCAGAATATCTCCTCCAGTGACAACTGGGTTGGGAGCTCTGAGGCTGAGACAGGGAAGAGAAGGAAAGTGAAAACCAAAGGGGTCAGCAGAGCAAACCGTGAAGCTTTCATCTGGGAGAGGAACATGGGGAGGTTTTTCTGCAAGGAGATCTGGCAGCCCCTTTCTGATAAAATCATAGCACCTACATCGTAACATCTCCCATGCTCTGCTGACGTTGGACCCTACTTTTAAAGCTCCTTTTGCACACATCTTTTCAAACCCATGTGTGCAGGGCTATCTGTCTCAGGCCAATCTTATTTCCGTGGCCCTTGGACCCAATAACAGAATTAACACTAATTTACCCCCTCACCCTGACAGATTTCAGGCACAAAGTTCTCAGCCAACAAGCAAAATTCCCTTGGCTGTTGAAGCAGGTGTTAATCGGGAATATTCTGAGGGAAATGCTGGGGGAGGACTTCTCCGGATTGCTGGGGAGTTGGAGGACAAGAGAGCTTCACCCAGGACTTTACCCCACAGCCATCTGTCGCTCTCAGCTGCCCCTCAACAGCTCAGGGCAGGGATGCTGATCTTGCTATCAATTTTGCACGGCTGCAGGCTCATGGGGGGACCATAATTTCTGCACCAGACAGTTTTAACTCTGAGAGGACTCACTCTCACAGCGTTTTTCTGTGTGCTGAATTTCCCACCCTGGTTTACAGTTAATGCAGGGACACAGCACTTTGCGTGCTGTGAAGAAGCAATTCAGCTGCCAGCATCCTGCCCCATGATGTACCAGTGCCACAGGCAATTCAAGAAACCATTTCCCATCCCCACTTCAGCGCTCTTGCTTCAAAAAGTGCCTTTCGTATCATCTTGTCTGGCTGACAAAAGGAAGAACCTGAGTAACGTCTTCAGATTTAGAAAGCATCGTGCTTGCCTGACCTCAGCATCACCAACTCTCAGATGAAAAGTGACCGAGCTGCAAAGAGGCCAGCACCACTGCTCTCAAGATTCAAGTCTTCGAGACTCAGACAGATGAATTGTGCCCTGAAGCTCTGAGTGGTCGGCTGCCTCAGTCTGCGGGAATCCTCCTGACTCAAACCTCACAAGAGAGCTTTGCTTTGCTCTGCTGGGGAAGTGAAAGATAGGTACCACTTGTAGTTTAGCCTAAAGCTGCCACAGAGCTTGTCTCTAAATTAAGTCTTTACAGCCCCCTTCTTCTGCAGCTACTCTCATTGAATTTTGCTTCTTGCTTCTAGGAGAGAGGTACTTGGTTATTTCTATTGATGGGAACACATAAAACACACTCAGATCTGCTAGCCAAATATCAAGTGTATATATACCCCTTCTTACAGCATACCTACCGAGATATCACTGTGCTGAAACATGCGGTCAATACCATTCTGTGTTTTCAAAGTTCATTTAAAAATCAAGCTAGTTTGGGAAAGAAACAACAATAAAAAAAAACCCCAAAACAATCAGGCTTTAGACACCCTGCAAATTGTTCCCTGCCAAGCAAGCTGTTGTACAGTGGCATGCCATGGGGGCTGACCTTCTTATTCTGTTTAAGTGGATGTCAGAAGGGACACACAACATCTTTGCAGCTCCTTTTCAAACCTTCTGGCAACTCCTTCAGCTATCTGTGGGTTTGAAAATCAAGGGAAGTGCACTTCAGCCTGGGCCTAATTAAACCAAATCGTGTTCCTAGTGGCAGGACCCTAAATCAGTACAGGGTGGGATCAGGCTTTTGGAAATGCAACAGAACAAAAATACTCTTGTGCATTCCTCACCTAGCCGTCTCCAGAAATTTTCTCTGCTTTCTTGCCCCTCTGTGATTCTGGCAGAGCTATTCCTGCTTTATGCTCAGGTCCAGCTCACCCCCGGCCGGTGCACGGGGCACGCTCAGCTGCTCCAGCCATGAGCCCCTGTCATCTACCAGTGATGCTGAGCAAATCGCTTGTGACCAGAAAGTGGCCTTTATGATGGGGGTATCAAAAATAAAATACCCACTGGGAACATGAGACAGTTCACTGGCTGGTCCTCTGTACCTTCTGGAGGTACTGGGATGTATTGGGAGAGAGGGGTAAACTGGGAATGGGAATTGGACGAGATGCACTCTACAGCCTTGCCTGTCTTTTCTGGGTCCTGACGTCTGCTGAGCTCAAATCTGGCTGTTTCGTGGACCTGATTTTCACTAGTACCAACAGAGACACCAAAGCCAGCAGGCGTTTTGGTGCTGACTTCAGCAGGCTGTTGGAGGTGAGGGGTAACAGGTGCTACAGGACCTACACTGTCGTGATATGGCCCCAAAGTCAGACGTGGGCACAGAGATGTTAATCCAACCCCACAACAGGGCAGAAACTTCAACTGTCACTAAAACCTCAACAAATCTACAAGTGATCCTCCCAGCTTCCCCAGTTTTCTTTGGGTTTTGAAGGGTTTATTTGTGCTTGGAGATAGAGCAAGGCAGGGACAGACTGCAACAATGATTGTTGTCTGAGAGGTTGTTTCTTTTCATTTATTGATGTTTCCCTTTAGCATGATGCGGGATGTGTGTGGGGAAACACCCACCCTACCAGCTCTGCACAAGGTCCCAAACAGTCCCCATCGAACTGAAGGGACAGGGCCCAGGGTGATGGCTCCTGGAGGGTCAGGGAGGACCTGGCTGATGCCATGGTCGGGGTGAGCCCACTCCCTTTCAAACACATCTCCATCCCTCCTGAAAAGCAAACACTGCTTTAGGTGATGGTCGTGCCGCTTCCTATGCCAGGAGGCACTGAGAAATGGGAGCAGTAGTTGGGAATCCAGGGATGGAGACAGTAAGGAAAGCACATGTCAAAGCAGCATGCCCATCCGATGGCTGATTCTATGACATTTCCCTCCACTTCTGCAGAAGGGCTTTGAAAACCACTTAGGGCTGCAGCGGGGGGATCTGTACATCTTATCCTATTCCCCATCATCATCATCATGGCAGTTTTGATAGACATTAGGTCTTTTTTACTGCCTCTGTGAAGATATTCTGCCTTAGTATGTGCAGGAACAGGTGAAAACAGCGCCAGGAAGCAAAGGGTTAATACTACTTTCATGCTCCTGAGTATAAACTGTCTGCAAAGCCCTGTACTCTGAGGTCCTCTCCAAATTTAATCCTAAAGAAGAAGGCACTGTTTCACTGAGATTAACCAGATTTGCAGATTAAGAAGATTAAATTAAAATTAAATTTGTCATCTTGGAGAGGGAGGTGGATAAAAAAAAAAAAAGAAAAAAAAGAAAAAGAAAATGAAAATGAAAAGTTGCCCTTCATTCATAGGTGTCTTAAATTATTCCCCAAATGCTTCCCTCAGACCCTGTCAAACTGCACACGCGTTGCTGTCTGGAGGGGTTTAAAAAGTGATGCAAACTTTTTGGGAAGTACAGACATTTTCATTTCATCTGGTGCACCAACTCTGAGACCAGCTACACACACTGTCTGCCAGCGAAATAAGCCACTGGGCTGGGGGGAAAAAAAAAAAAAACAAAACACCCAAAACCAAATCCCCAAACCCTAAAAAACAAAAAAACAAACCCTAAAACAACAAACCCACCAAAAACCCGTTCTAAATCCTTGATACAGTAAATTACTCATCAAGGAAACAGCCGTGCG